CCCCCGCCACCATCATCATCCCCTCATCAGGAGATCTATCCCGTCCCGCTGGCCGGCGCCCCAGGTCCAGGTGGAAGATCGATTGGGGGTTGAGAGCACTGTCTGCCAACCAAACACCCTCTGGCCCCCCCGTCAGCTGCCCCCTCTTCCTGTCTCCCTTGTCGCCGGATGCCGCGGCGCGCGGTGCACACCCCCCGAACCGAGGCATAGTCGTGGCAGCGCTGCCGGGCATCGCCCGTGGCGGCCAAGAGGGTCTCCCCCGCTTGCATACTGGGATCTGAACTGCTCATCCGAATCCTCTCCCCTCCTCCGCCCGCCCGACCCCCGCGCCCCTCCGGCTGCTCCCTCGCTCCTGCGCTCGCGCGCCCGCCCCGCCCCACTTCCCTGGCATTGCCCGCCCATCCGGCGGCGCCTCCCTCCTCTCCCTCCCCCCCCCCTTCTCCTCTTCCTCCCTTTCCCTCCCTTTCTCTCCCACCAGATGGCAAACATCACGCAGATGCTCCCTACCGACATGTCCGCGCACGGCGCCACCGGTCCAGCCGACTTTTCTCCCCTGGCCCGGGCGCTGTATCCGCACCGCTATGCCGTTGCGGCCGCGGCAGCCGGTGCCTCCGGCGTTCTTGTTGGCTATCCATTCGATCTGCTGAAAACCCGGATGCAAAACCTCCAGGCCGCCGCTCCCGGCAGCCGGAATTTGTCGGCCTACGCCGTGGCCAAGGGCATCTACCGCGCGGAAGGTACGCACCCATGTGCCCTCTTGGCTTGCGCCCAGTCCCGGCCCTTCCCCACCACGACCCACCCTTGGCCGCCAATTCCAAGTCCCTCCCAGCCAACCAACCATGACATCTGCTCCCATGCACCCCGCCAGGCGTCCCGGGTCTCTTTCGAGGCATGCTGCCGCCGCTCTTTGTCGTGGGCTTCCTCAAGTCGCTGGCCTTCCAAACATATGAGTCACTGAAGATGGGCATGGAGGAGCCGTATGTGCGCACCTTCCAGCCCCAGCCCTCGGACTTGGCGGTGTTCGGTGCTCGCTTTGAGGTCCCGATGCCGGTGATCATCGCGGCTGGCGCACTGTCCGGCGCGGCGATCGCCGCCCTCAACAGCCCGCTGGACACTATCAAGGTCAACATGCAGATGGCCCGCGCGTCGGTCGCCGACTCTCCCTCCGCCGGTCCTGCCGCCTCGGCCACCGCGGCCCCCGCCCCGGCCAAGCCCCCACGTGTCAGTCTATTTGGCACGATCCGGTCCATTCGGGAGCGGAATGGCTCCTACCTGGCCCTGTACCGGGCGGCGCACATCCACATCGGCCGGGACTTCATTGGCACCGGGGTCTACTTTGCCACGTACGAACTCTTCCGGCGGATGTATCTTCACTCCAGGCTCCGCCTGCACCAGGCCAACACGGCGGCCGCCGAGCAGGGCGGACCCCGGGGCCCGGTGGCTCCGCTGACGGCTTCCGAACTCGGCGCCATGGCCATGGTCGCTGGCGGCCTCGCTGGCATGGCCTCCTGGACGGTGATGTTTCCCCTGGATCTGGTCAAGTCGCGACTACAGTCGGCCCTCCTCGGAGCGGCATCCGGCCAGAACTCCCCTGGTGCCCGGCCCGGTGGGAACTCCTTCCTGGCATGCGCTCGAGCCACCCTGGCCGAGGGCCACGGTGACTATCGTGTCTTCTACCGCGGCCTCGGGCCAACTCTCTTCCGGGCCTTCCCTCTGCATGCGCTGAACTTCATCGTATACGAGTCCGTCCGCGAGTGGATAGAACAGCGTAGCGGCCTGACAAACTAACATACAATAGACGACCCCGCTCTAGGCATGCAAGTGCTCGCGTGTGCCTGTTTGTGTTCCGGCGGAACGGGCGCCTCCGCTCGCGCGCTCCCCTCCGAAGCTGTCTGCACGCGAGTGCGCCCGCTCCGGCCTCTGCCCTTGGTGCATGTGTGTGTATCTCCACAAACCCTCGCCCCCTCCCCCGCACCCGGGCTCACGAAAAACAAGCAAGAAAAGTGCCCCAGAAGCGGGAGCGCCGACACGCCGCAGCAAGACCGAGCTACACGTGCTTGACGATCACGTGCCCCACCTCGTGGAGGTATAGCTCCTAGATCTCCCCCACCGCCGCTGGTGGCCGCGCATTTTTTGTCTCTCCCTGTGCAAGCATTTTTACGCCCACGCCCACACGCACACACCGACGCCCATGCGTTTTCTCCCGGTGGATGTGGCTCCCCGGAGGCGAGAGGCGGCCAAGCCTCAGACGATGTCTAGGGGACTGTCACCACCGGCAAGAGGGCAAGGCAGGGGAACGCCCCCCCCAAGAGCCCCCGCGGCATTCCCCGCACCCAGGTGCAGTGTGATCTGGCTTCCCTCCCTCCCTCTTCCTCCCCCTCCTCCGTCACACTCCTCCCCCCTCTGTCCCTGGCGCCTGGGCCCCCTTTTCTCCTCTGGGCCTCTCTTCCCCCTGCCACGCCTGTTGCCATCCCCCTGCACACACACACACACACACACACACACACACACACACACACACACCTCCCACCACAAACGCACCATGGCTACCCTCCTTCCGAAGAGCTCGGCCGCCGGGATGCACTTCCCGGACCCGCTGCGCCATCTTCTTGACGGCCTTCTGGCCACGGATCATTCGGTCGGCCAGAACTTGGCCCCGACTCTGGACATCCTGCGGTCGGACGGAGCGCGCATGTTCGCCTGGGCCGCGGCCGAGGAGACTCGCCTGGAGGCCGGCGCCGTGGCCGCTGGCACTTCAACCGACGAGGCCTTCCAGCGGACGACCCTCCACGCATGGACACAGAAGGTGTCCGGGTTGTTGCAGGGCCGCGCCCTGCGCGGACGTCTTGCCGGATGCCTGCTGGCCTCGGCCACGGCGCACTTTCTGCCGGCCACCGCCCTGGCCCGCGGTGCTGGGGCCTGGTTCAACCACCTGCTTGCGAATGCCCGCATGAGTGCTGCCGGGTTCACGGCCCGCGAGGGCGAGCTGCCGGCCACGCAGCTTGGACCGACCATCCGCGCGGCGGCCCTGCACGCGGTGGCCCATCTGACTGCTGTGTGCGCCCGGCAGCCCACCCTCCGTCGGGACGTCCTCCTTGGCGGGTCGGCCGGCAACCAGGTCCAGCAGAAGGTCGTTGCCCTGCTGGGGGAGGTGGCCTCCTCCAGCCGCAGCAGCCCGGCCGAGGTGGAAGTGGCCCTGGCGGCTTTTGCCGCACTGGCCCCGGTCCTGGGGACCAGCCTGCGCCCGGCCCAGGAGCGTATCCTGTCGGGGCTCTGCCGGTCGCTGTCTGAGGCGGCCGGCCGCCAGCAGGCCACCTGCGACCTGGCCGCCAGTCGGGCCTTCTGGGCATTGGCCGGTCTGGCCGGGCCGCGCATGGTCCCGGTCTCCTGGTCTGGGGCCGTCTGTGCGGTGGCCTGCGCCGTTGATGATGCGCTGGATCTCCTGACCCTCCCGGTGCAGCAGGACCTGTCACGGATGTCCTTGCGTATGCTGGCCGGTCGCCTGCCCGGGCCTCCGGGGTCCGGCGGTGCCACCACCCGTTTGCTGGACTTCGCCCCTCCGGCCCGACTGCTGGACAGCCTGGCCACCGTTACCGGGTCGACCGGTGCCTCGGCCGCGACGACCATCGAGTTGTTTGGGCGTTTCAGCCGCGCGGCCGATCTCCTGGTAGCAGGCCTGTCGCGCAGTGCGCCGCCCATGCTTGGCCCGCCGCCCATCCCGGCCGGTGTGCTTTTCCTCCTGGCCGAGCGTATCCTTTCTTTGGGGCTGGCCCCGCCCCGGTCGCCGCAGATGGCCCCCTCCAGTGACTACTCAAGCTTGCTGGCGGTTCTGCCACGCGTCCTGGCCCATGGCCTGCGTCTGTTGCAGGCCTTGCTATCGTCGCTCGGAGTCCGCGCTGCGGCCGTGGCCCCGCGCTTTGCCATGCTGCTGCGCATGGTCCTCAGCCAGTCGGCCCATTGCCCGTGCGTGAGCTCCCCCTCGTCTCGTACTCGACATCCCCCCCCCTGTCGGGCCCCCCCCCCCCCCTACCATCGCCTGCATGTCCGGGACTAACATTTGCCCCTTGTCGGATTTCCCGCCCACCCCTCGCCCTCGGCCCGGTGCCGCCACCATTCTGTCTCTCAGGGAGGTCCGGATTGAGGCCTACAAGACCATGACCCTGGCGGTGGATATTCTTGGGCGTGACTTTGTCGGTCGTGCGTGTGCCAATCCTCCCCCTCCCCCTCGCATCGCTCGCCATTTGTTGCCCATGCTCACGCGTCCATTCGGCCTGTGTGCATGCATCTGTCCAGTCGATGTCACTCCATTTGCGGCCTTCTGCCTGGCCGATGTGGATCGGCTGCTTAGCGCGGCAGTGACCCAATCGGCCAATAGCTCGACCGCCCCGCTGTCGGAGGATGCCCGCATTTCGGCTGCCTCGCAAGGGAAGAAGCGCCGGCGCGCGCGCGGTGATAATGACACCAGCCCTCCGGTGGCCAGCTCCGTCGGTGTGGCGGTCGACCCGGACCAGATCCCCGGTGTGGATCTCTTTGATCAAGCTCCGGCAGAGATTGCCCTCCATGGCTTGGGGTTCTTGAAGGCGCTGCTGCTGGCGGCCGGTGGTCAGCCGGAGGAAATCGGCTGGCGTGCCCGGTGTGAGTTGACTCTGGCCCGGCTGCTTGTCCCGGCCAGCATGTGCACCTACAGCGCCGGCGAGCTGGGCAACGCCGCGGCCCCGGTCCTGGCCGCGGCTCTCGAGTGTCTGGCCATTGCTGCCGGGGCGCCGAATGCCCGGGCCGACTCGCCGGCCCTGCCTCTGGCTCTCCAGGTGGCCTCCGGGGTGATGGCTTCTCAAAACCCGGCCCTGCGCGCGGCTGCCCGTGTCCAGGCTCTTCCCCTGCTTGTGGCCAATGTGCATCCCCGGGCTCCGGCCATGCGCGGCTTCTCGGCCGAGGATTTGGCCGGTGTGGCGGTGGCCCGACAGGCCACCGCGGCTGCCGATCTCCAGGACGCCCTTGAGGACCAGTTGGCCCTGGAGGCTGCCAGCTACCGGGCCCCGGTCGTGAGTAAGGGGTCTCCCGCGGAGCCGGCCTTCGGCTTCGGCCAAACAGCGGCCACGGCTGCCGCCGCCACCGCCGCCGCTACCTCGACTCCGGCTCCTGCCCCCATGGTGCCTGCCACCGCACCGTTGACCATGGCATTGCCGCAGGTGGCCTCGGTCCCTCCATCGACCACGACGCCCGCTTCTGCCCCTTCGGCCACCGAGGACTCGCCTTCCAAGCGCCAGAAAACCGCGGCTCCGGCGCTGGCCATGCCCACTGCCCCGGTCTCTGCTTCGACTCCGGACAACACAGCGTCGAAGAAGGACGAGTCGGAGGACGACCTGCCGCAGGAAGATAGTGACATCGAATTTGACCTTGACGCCGGCCCTGACAGTGATCAGGATTAGACTCCGACCATCCTTTCCTCGCCCCTCCCCCCCCCTTTTTTTTGGCTTGATCGCAAGAAGAGGGGCGCCAAAGCCCGTTCCCTGCCATTGTAGTAGACAATATGACACCATAACCATGCTTTCCCTTGATCACGGCCGTCAAAGGGAGAGGCTAACCACCCAATCCCAGCTGGGTCTGGCAAAGATGCGGCGCATTCGCTTGCTTGTATGCTTGAGACTCGCGCGATGGGGAGGGGCATTTTTGGGTGTTTCCCGACAGCTACCTGTCTCCCAATGGAAGTGCGAACGTCGCTCCCATTGACGATGGGCAGCGTGGCGATATGCTGGCAGTGTGGGCATAGGAGGAAGAAAGGGTGGACGAGGCCACACGGATGGCCATCCCTTCGGAGTCTCTTGCCGTGGGGACAGGGCCCGGGGAAAGGGGCCAGAGAGCCCAAAGCACCGGGCCTTCCTCTTGCGATGAGATCTGTCTCGGTCTCCGTGGGCGTGGCCAGGTCTGATGGGTGACTTCCCTTGGTTCGACTCGCTTACATGAGTAGTGATGCTATCTCCCCGAGCAGTAGGCTGTGCGGCTTTCACTTTCGGAGGGAGGTCCTTCGGTTCGTGCACACTCGAAAGATAGACACAGGCTTCTCAGACGGGCGGGAATCGGTTTGCATCAACGCCGGGCCCGTCCGGGCGCGAGGATGTCGCTGTAGCCTGGCTTGAGTCCGGCGAAGAATGCGCGATCGAGAGGGCCGGGATTTGGGTTTGGCGTCTGCATGGCAGGAAACTCTCGGGGATTGCATCCCACTGGCGGAGATGAGGGGCGGGGGGGGGGGGGAGCTCGAGGGTGCTGAGGCTCAATCTAGCATGGCGACCAGAGGAGTATGCTGTTCGTCGGGGCCGGCTACCGATGGGCATCGACGGTCCAACATGGCAATCACCATGGCAGGCCCGTATCCGGTTCTTGGTGATACCCGCAGCGCTGAGGGACTCCTGGCCCGAGGATATGCACCGATGGGGCGAATGCAGCATGATAATGAGAAGATGGCAGGATTCTTTATTTCTCGGCCAACATGACAAGCACAACACAAGCGCACAGCCTTTGGCCGAGGATCCAAGTTGACAGGTGAACTTTTCTGGAGCTACCAAGGAGTCGGAGGTGGCACATGGCCCGCGAAGAGGATCGTGGGCCTCGCCCTGGCGGACTGGGATCTGGTCGAGCGAGAAGGAACCAGCCATCTCCTCGGTATATAGCGAAGCCGGGCATGCGGGACCACCCTCCTGACAAGCCTGCTCATGAGCGGGCCCCCAGCCTCAGGCGGAAGGAGGCCCAGAGCACCTGAGACACCAGCCGACCTCGACACCGCTACGATGTCGCAGAGGCCACACCACAGCGTGGCAGGACAATGCCATGACCGGCTGAGAGCCAGGATCATGGGGCCAATGCAGAGGAGTATCGATTGGGGGAACCTTGGTCCTGCAGAGAGAGACCTCCTACTTGCTGAACGACCAATTTTATATCCCCGCTCGCTGATGGCGAGAAGATCTGCGCTCATGGAAGGAAAGGGGCCCCTCTTCGACTGGCAGCGCAGTTATGGCAGCCAGTGAAAGCACGGGCCAGCTCGAGTCGATCCGGTGATGATGGGCAGGAAGATTGCCTGGATTCGCTCGTAGCATAGACCACCCGGCGATGAGAAGGCTCCCGATTTGGGCCGCTCGTCGGGCCATACGAGCCCATCATGTATCGCGGCCACCAGGGGCTTCCGGCTGGGGGAGGCCTGCCTACAGGTAGCCTCGGCACAGGATATCTCGGCGACGGCCTCCCCACACTTGATCCGGGGGGATGACACCGGGAAAGCGCGGCGGAAGATGGGTTGTCTCATGTCTCCAGCACTTCGGTTGGACAGTTCATCCCTGCTTCCTCGTCCTCCCGCTCTCAATCCCCCTCCCAGCCGACACAATACCCGGATTGAGACAGGATCCCACGAGAAAGAGGTCCTGAGGGGGGAGCTGTTTTGTAGCGGGAACTTTCCAAGGCTGCCAGGCAACACGGACACCTTCTCGCGGGGGGAGAACAGCCGAGCTTCCATGAGAGGGGCTAGATAGAGGCAGTGCAGGAGCGCGCTTCGCGGGAAGATACACCAGAGCTCACTTTACCGCAACCACCGTGCATCCACCCAGGAAGCATGACACCAGGGGCAGGGCGCTTCCCCTCCCCATTCCCAGGAGCAAATACAGGAAAGGGCCTGGCGGGGCATCGGCCGATCTCGCGATCGGCCCTCGAGGGCGGAAAGGGGCAAGGAGGCGGACGACCACGAGGAGCCAGAGAATGTCCAAGGGCAGGGAGCAGAGGGCCTCCCGAGAGGATCGCAGGGCGCGCGGCTTTCAACGAGGCTTATTCGAGCCCGAGCGAGCACCCGGGCATCGATGGGAAGGGAGGGCATCAATCTCGGGGAGCACCAAGAAGCCGCCGCGCCCGCCTCGCGAAAGGGCCTGGGGGAGGGGCCCGCCCCGCGCCGGGGTCGGGCGTATTTGCTTGTTCACCGCCACCACCCTCCCCCCCCCAGCCTTCGGAGAATATTCCCCGTCATCGGAGGGAGGCACGGGGTCGGCACCCAACTATCCACGGACTCCGGGCCCTGGGCGCCTGCTCCGGCGCAGGGGGCTCGCCTTGGCCAAGCTACCACCAACCGGCCATGCCTGGCGCGTGACCAAAAACCAGGAGTACGTGTGACGAACCTCGATGGGCCCTCGCTGGGGCATTGCCAATGACCACGGGCACGTGCAATGGCAGCGCACTTTCCTGATCGCGTGAAGGGGGCCGAAATCTGAAAATTGGAAGGTCGATTGTGGCACTCCACCGCCGGACCATCCGGCAAGTCGTGTCCCCCCGGTCAGGTCAAGCACCGGGCGTGCCGGGGCGCACGCGGTGCCACCGCCCCCCGCTCCGCCCGACGCGTGCGGGCGGTGTCGTCGCTCCTTCTACCCTACCCCATTCGCTACCATCACTGCCAAGGCCGTCCGCTTGGAAAGCCTCGCGGCAAATGGCAAACCGCCATGCTTGGGCCATGTACACGTCGCTGGACCTGTGTCGCATCTGCCTAGACCGGCTGGAACAGTTACAAGCCCCCGCTCGTACTACCCGAACCGCAGGTGCGTGCACACTCGGCACGCACCTGTTTCCAGGCAAGCGGGAGAGTGATCCACTTTAGGAGTCGGCGGGGCGCGGAAACGACGACTGACCCCGCGAGTCATCGTCCCCCCCAGGGCGCAGGACGCCCTCGGAGGCGGGACAAGGAGGCAATCGCAAACACCCGAAGCGGCGGCTTTCCTCAACCCAATCTGTGCGGAGGCCCCGAAAGACATGACCCTCCTCCCGCGCGCACCTGGGGAGGACAGCGAAAATGGCCCCCCCGGGGCATGAGGGCGGCGTATATGACACACAACATACACACACACACACATGTGCGAAGTCCCTGCCCCCCCCCCCCCCTCCCTGAGACCCCTCCTCGAGACCCGAGGCACGCCGGAGAGCCGGACACATAGAGCCGTGGTGAAGTGCTTATATTGTCTTCCTACAAGAAGGAGCATGGACAGGCACGCCAATGCACCCCCCCCCCCCCTCTCAAGCACGGAGGAGAGAGCCGTCACCGCGTGGCAACACCTCTTTTGGACTCCAACATGCTTGCATAGCGCCACCATCATGCACAGCGATGCTATGCCGAGGGGGGGTGGGGGGGGGGAAGGAGAGTGCGCCTCTCGAAGCACCGGCCATCCTGTGCCACCGCCGCCTGCGGGTGCAGGGATACACACGCCACATGTGCGCGCGCGAGCCTATGCACATCCCAAAAATGGGGGCGCAGTTGGGGCGCGTAGATGTACACATGCTTGTGCATATCCCTCCTCGCTGCCGCACAAGCGGAGGGGCGCGCGGGCGGCGGCGGGGCGGAAGAAGGGTGGAGAAGCAGCAAGCAGCGGGCGAAGGCGCTTACTTGAAGATCTTGCCCTCGTTGAACTTCTTGTTGGTGATGGAGGCGAAGCTGCAGCCCTCAATGGAGTCGTCCCAGGTGAGGAAGGCGTTGACGAGGGCCTTGGTCTCGTCGTTGATCTCAAGCTTCTTGAGGACGTACGACTCGAAATCCGGGGCATCAGACAGCTCGAAGGGGATCTCCTGACCACGGACGAGGTAGATGGCGAAGAGCTCGGAGTCGTTGTCCTCGCCGAAGATGACGAAGGAGCCGAAGGCATACTTGCGAGCGCGCTCAGAGCGCTGGAACAGACCGTTGATCAGGTTGCAGGTCATGAAGGTCTGCTTGAGGAGGTGGTTGTCCATGTAGCTGGCGAGCCACAGGGAGTAGCCCTCAAGGTCGACGTTGTCCCAGAAGTACTTGATGGAGTCGACCTCGGAGTTGTTGGAGTAGAAGCGCTTCCAGTTGTCCAGGACGAAGGACGAGGGGGGGAGCAGATCCAGGGGGTTCTTCTCCTTGCCGTCGGCGGCGG